GACAGGTAGACAGCGTCCATGAAGACAGGTAGACAGCGTCCATGAAGACAGGCAGACAGCGTCCATGAAGACAGTCAGACAGCGTCCATGAAGACAGGCAGACAGCGTCCATGAAGACAAGCAGACAGCGTCCATGAAGACAAGCAGACAGCGTCCATGAAGACAGGTAGACAGCGTCCATGAAGACAGGTAGACAGCGTCCATGAAGACAAGCAGACAGCGTCCATGAAGACAGGCAGACAGCGTCCATGAAGACAGGTAGACAGCGTCCATGAAGACAAGCAGACAGCGTCCATGAAGACAAGCAGACAGCGTCCATGAAGACAGGTAGACAGCGTCCATGAAGACAGGCAGACAGCGTCCATGAAGACAAGCAGACAGCGTCCATGAAGACAGGCAGACAGCGTCCATGAAGACAGGTAAGACAGCGTCCTTGAAGACAGGCAGACAGCGTCATGAAGACAGGTAGCAGCGCTTTAAGACAGGTTAGACTAGCGTCCATGAAGACAGTAGACAGGTGCATAGAAAGTCGTATGTAAGACAGCGTCAACATACAACAGGGATTCTATGAGCTTGCCAGACGCTCCTATGAACCAGTTAGGCTACTGACTCCATAAACACCCGTAGCTTGCTGTATGACCACTCACTGTAATCGTCCTAGCAGTGACTATGCGCCTGCGCTACCGCCTCCCACCTGAACGCCATTAAAGGCGCCAGCTTGCAGTCTTCAAACTTGTCGGCTTTAATATTTATCACTTCTTCCTGTGCGACAGTAGGCAACGACAATGAGTAGTGGCAAAAACAAAAGAGGCATCTATTCAGGCTCAGCTTAATCCCAAAGCTGGGTGTGACCCCGATGTATGACCTCTGCCCTTGACCGCCTGACTCGTTGATCTATGCCCCATCACCCGTCGACCCATGACGGGTTTAGGCAGCCCAACTGCGCTAGTTTCATTCCTCTTGAGCCCGTGCGGCGGGAAATACGGACAAGCTTAGAACGTAGCACCAGAAAAGAAGAGGCATTTACTTCCCCACGGCCGGGATCTGGTGGACCCGCCGCGAAAGTGGCTAAAGGCCAGTCCACCTCTTGGATAGGCCGGCAAGTGGCATATACGGGAATTCAGAGCATTGCCTGTTCCCCAGAAACCTCACAACCACGGCTTGAACCCAGCCGGCAAGAGGTACTATACTCACCCGCGCGTATAGCATCTAGACTCGCAAATCGTGCACACGAATTTCTTGAAAGTCTGCCTGGATGGCGAACTTCACAAACTGCCTTCACACAAACCCAAGGGTTGATACCTGGGTTCACTAGAGTTCGAAACGCCCCGTGCCACTGGGACCAGGCTCTGATTACGTCACTTCTTGTAGATATTCGTGTCTTCAACAGTCAGACATGTGTATGATAAACCATAGGAGGAACGTCAATAAGAACCCAGGTTGCACAGTGTCTAATTTTTCACTAAGACAGGTAGACAGCGTGCACTAAGACAGGTAGACAGCGTGCACTAAGACAGGTAGACAGGATGCACTAAGACAGGTAGACAGCGTGCACTAAGACAGGTAGACAGCGTGCACTAAGACAGGTAGACAGCGTGCACTAAGACAGGTAGACAGCGTACACTAAGACAGGTAGACAGCGTGCACTAAGACAGGTAGACAGCGTACACTAAGACAGGTAGACAGCGTGCACTAAGACAGGTAGACAGGATGCACTAAGACAGGTAGACAGCGTGCACTAAGACAGGTAGACAGGATGCACTAAGACAGGTAGACAGCGTGCACTATGACAGGTAGACAGCGTGCAGTATGACAGGTAGACAGCGTGCACTAAGACAGACAGCGTGCACTAAGACAGACAGCGTGCACTAAGACAGGTAGACAGCGTTCACTAAGAAATGGTTGACAGCGTGCAGTAAGACAGGTAGACAGCGTGCACTAAGACAGGTAGACAGCGTGCACTAAGACAGGTAGACAGCGTGCACTAAGACAGGTAGACAGCGTGCACTAAGACAGGTAGACAGCGTGCACTAAGACAGGTAGACAGCGCACACTAAGACAGGTAGACAGCGTGCACTAAGACAGGTAGACAGCGTGCAGTAAGACAGGTAGACAGCGTGCACTAAGACAGGTAGACAGCGTACACTAAGACAGGTAGACAGCGTGCACTAAGAGAGGTAGACAGCGTGCAGTAAGACAGGTAGACAGCGTGCACTAAGACAGGTAGACAGCGCACACTAAGACAGGTAGACAGCGTGCACTAAGACAGGTAGACAGCGTGCAGTAAGACAGGTAGACAGCGTGCACTAAGACAGATGGACAGCGTGCACTAAGACAGGTAGACAGCGTGCAGTAAGACAGGTAGACAGCGCACACTAAGACAGGTAGACAGCGTGCACTAAGACAGGTAGACAGTGCACACTAAGACAGGTAGACAGCGTGCACTAAGACAGGTAGACAGCGACCTCAAAAACAGGTAGAGACACAATATTTGAAGACCAGTAAACAAAGACTGGGAAAGTCTGAAGACCACAATGACCTGTTATACTGAGAGGTCTTTAGTTTAGAAGCAGCCATGCATCCTTCAACACCCAGGACACAGGTCATAATATGAGCGAAACACTCGTATAATAGCTGGGTATCTTTACCGTGGAAACGTTTCGCCTTCTCTGAAGACTCCTTCAGTCAATACAAAGATGATAATTATTGTAAACAGCAGAAATTGAGAGGCAAAGATGAGATGGTGGGCAGTTAGTCAGTCTTGAAGGAGTTTTGAGCTGGTCAGCTTGTCGACCTTGAGAAGTGTTCTGCTCCATGGTCTCAATTATTCACTTTGATCGAGACTATGGAGCTGAACACTTATCATGGCTGAGGGACTGACCACATCATCTTCAGTTCTCCACTGCTTCTGCTGTCTACAATATTTGTCACCTCTGTATCCGACTGTAGAAGCCTGCAGAACAGGCGAAACTTTTCGACAATAAAAAAATACCCAATTTTTCCACAAGTATCTTACTCATCAAAAAGGAGACATGTATATCTAACATACACGATCATCTTTAAGTTGGAGGAACAGCTCTAAACAACCAGATGTCTGCGGCAACCTTCGTTGTGTGTGTACGCCTCGTTCTGCATGTTCCTGCCTCCAGCTGTGTACGCCTCGTTCTGCATGTTCCTGCCTCCAGCTGTGTACGCCTCGTTCTGCATGTTCCTGCCTCCAGCTGTGTACGCCTCGTTCTGCATGTTCCTGCCTCCAGCTGTGTACGCCTCGTTCTGCATGTCCCTTCCTCCAGTTGTGTACGCTTCGTTCTGCATGTTCCTGCCTCCAGTTGTGTACTCCTCGTTCTGCATGTCCCTTCCTCCAGCTGTGTACGCTTCGTTCTGCATGTTCCTGCCTCCAGCTGTGTACGCCTCGTTCTGCATGTTCCTGCCTCCAGCTGTGTACGCTCGTTCTGCATGTCCCTTCCTTCAGTTGTGTACGCTTCGTTCTGCATGCTCCTGCCTTCCAGTTGTGTATCCTCGTTCTGCATGTCCCTTCCTCCAGCTGTGTACGCTTCGTTCTGCATGTTCCTGCCTCCAGCTGTGTACGCCTCGTTCTGCATGTCCCTTCCTCCAGTTGTGTACGCTTCGTTCTGCATGTCCCTGCCTTCAGTTGTGTACGCTTCGTTCTGCATGTCCCTGCCTTCAGTTGTGTACGCCTCGTTCTGCATGTCCCTGCCTTCAGTTGCGTACGCCTCGTTCTGCATGTCCCTGCCTTCAGTTGTGTACGCCTCGTTCTGCATGTCCCTGCCTTCAGTTGTGTACGCCTCGTTCTGCATGTCCCTGCCTCCAGCTGTGTACGCCTCGTTCTGCATGTCCCTGCCTCCAGCTGTGTATGCCTCGTTCTGCATGTCCCTTCCTTCAGCTGTGTACGCTTCGTTCTGCATGTCCCTGCCTCCAGCTGTGTACATCTCGTTCTGCCTATCCCTGCCTTTAGTTGTGTACGCCTCGTTCTGCCTATCCCTGCCTTCAGCTGTGTACGCCTCGTTCCGCCTATCCCTGCCTTCAGTTGTGTACGCCTCGTTCCGCCTATCCCTGCCTTCAGTTGTGTACGCCTCGTTCTGCATGTCCCTGCCTCCAGCTGTGTACATCTCGTTCTGCCTATCCCTGCCTTCAGTTGTGTACGCCTCGTTCTGCTATCCTGCTCAGTTGTGTCGCCTCGTCTGCATGTCCCTGCCTCCAGCTGTGTACATCTCGTTCTGCCTATCCCTGCCTTCAGTTGTGTACGCCTCGTTCTGCCTATCCCTGCCTTCAGCTGTGTACGCCTCGTTCTGCCTATCCCTGCCTTCAGCTGTATACGTCTCGTTCTGTATGTCCCTGCCTCCAGCATCAGCGAGCACTTTCCCATGTCTTCTACCCAGGACACTCGTCCTCATCTCACTTGGCTCGCTGCTGGACAATTGCTCACGACGCCTTACATCATTTCTTATAGGCTTGGAGAAATCTTGTTGGTGTTGACTGGGGTAAGGCTTGGGTGTGAGTGCCTGGTTCTGCAGGACCCACTTGACCTAATTAGGAACATTTTGTTCCCGTTATTTTTTTCCTTTTTGAAGGAGACTTATTTCCTCTCCATTACCCCTTCCCCCAGATTTGGGCAAAATCTTCACCAGAATTCTGGGAGCAGGACTCATCCTGCATATGCAGCCGTTGCTCTTTAAAAGCAGCAATCTGTCCAGCTGTTATTTAGTACTTTCTTTTTCTCAAAACTCCTAAATTCTGCTCCTTGTACATAAGGAAAAAACTAATAAATTTAAGGTTCTCTAAGGTAAATGTGGTGATGTCATGGCTCGAGGACAGCAAACGGCTCGTTTGCTCAGGTTTACTCTCTGTTCTGGATATTGTCTTGTGAGCCGTATTTGAAAGAGTAAACGAGCCGCATGATTGATCTAAGCAGTGCGTTTAAAAATTAGCAAAGAATCCATTAAGAAGGGAGTCTCAACTAGCTTACATGAGATACTTACCATTATGTCTGTAGCAGTAAAGGTGAGAATCAGTGGAGACCTTAACGCCGGAAAGTGGGGAACTTGTGGCAAGGTGAAGTGGCCACAGGTATATGGTCACTTGAAGTTGAATAAAGGGCTGCAGAGGAGCACCTGGGAAACCTTCAGATGGTTCCTGTTTCCAACACGTCACTGCGGGCCCACAGACGTCCACCTCTTCTTCAGGAAGAAGCTTGGGGGGAGGGGAACCTCCTCTCAACAGTCTTACACTCCTATCAGATGGCCATAGTCTCGATGCTGCGTTGCCGTGGACGTCGGAGTGTACCAACACGACAACAACGGCAGCGACGACGACACAGGAGGCGGGTGCCACCGAACTGGATGAGTGTGAGCGACGGTGGATGATGTGTCGTGTCTGGCTAGTCGTGGGAGTGTGGAGCCGCGGAGTGATGCTTGCTTCTCTCTCTCTCACTCTCTTATACCACACCCGCACCCGCCCACCTTCCACCCTGCATGTCTCCCTGCCAGCCTGTGTCCCTGCCTCTCTCTCTGTCTATATGTGTCTCCCTGCCTGCCTTTACCCCTTGCCTGTATGTCTCCGTCTGTATAATTTCCTAGCAAATTTTGCTATTTTTTTGAACTCCGGTTCTAATGGTGGCTTCTTAACATCGTAATGACTGGCTTGATCCTGACCTATCATTGTTTCAGTTTCAATTATATTGTTCACTCTTCTGTTCCATCTTTCTACTACTCTGGTGCTGCTTAAATGTGTCCTAATATCTCTGCAACTCTATGTGAGTGCTCAGTTGCCACCGGGCTGTAGCAACTTTCATTCTTCTCTCATTTATTTACTCCTTATTGCCTCCTCGTTATTTTAATCAAATATTGCTTTTAATAATTTGTATATTGTGGTTATGTTCCCTCTCTCCTAGCTCCTTTCTCCAAGGATTTTCTTTTCATACCTCATGTAAATTTTTCACTTTTATATTTTATTAACATCTCATTGTATGTACACTCTACGGCGATTCTACGTATTCGGTGACTGGTTTATCATACTTAATTTAAATAATTTCGAATGCTTCCTTATACTCAACGCCATTCTTACATAGGAGAGTTGGCATATTACCGACCACGTTATTCAGTTTTCATGGGTTTCTGGTGATAGGTTAGGTGTAATGGTTTCCTCCATCTAATGCATTTACTTTGGTCTCATTATTCCCACCGAGCGTACTGGGGATGAATTCTAGTGGCCACTTTCCGACCAAGCTTGAGACCCGCCCAGATCTCGCAGATTTTGGCACTAATCATCAGTGTTTGTTCTCCTCATTAGTTTCGCGTTATCTGCAAATGTTGCCATTCATAATAGCACAAATAACATGGGCGCCAGCACGAACTCTTGAGAGATAAATATTTATATCTCAGGAACAATATGGGATGGCAGCACGGACTCCGAGGGCCCCACCACTAGTTATAATCACCCTTCTGGACACTTGTTTTCTTACGTTATCCATTCTCTTACTTTCCGATTGTATTTTTGCCTATTTCTTAATTTACCCATTAGCCTTCAGTGTGAACGGAATATAAAACCTTCATGACATCAAGAAATATGCAATCAGCGAGTTGTATTCTCTGGATAAGCAGCACTTCCTTCCCTACCTTACCAAAGCTCTGATCATAGAAGTGAAGAATAGCAGCATGATAGCGAGCTCCAGCCACTGGAGAAGCTGTATTATGCTATCACGCGTTATTCTGGATAAGCAGCCACTGGGGAAGCCCAACCAACCTTCCAATATAACTTATCAAAACTAGCCTAATGACTCGTCTCGCACCCGTGGGAAGCGCTGCAAGACTTTTGCAATGTTTATATCACCTCGAGGGATGGTGGACGTCTCTCATACTTCCTCAGTGATACACAGGATGGTACACACCTCGCAAAGAATGGTGTATTTGCTAACAAAAATATCTAAATTTCCACACTAGTACTAGACATTTGAGGAGCTTGATATAAGGAATTGCACCTGCCTACCTCTTCCTAAGATCGAACCTGATTGCTTCCTCTTCCCCAGGCGCCATGAGACCTTAACAACAGTATTAAGGTGGCGTGTTCATCTTCCCCTATAATGTGTGGTGTTAGTTGTGTTGGGTGACAGTTTTACGATAAGGTGAACCAGCTGAACGTTCGTACGTTATCTGCGCCTGTCTAGTGAGCAGGTTCATCCAGGAATCTGACGCAGCTGTTTCTTCCACTAAGTGTGATGTCAATTTGTGAGTACCTCGCATGCATGACTCCAGCTCATGGCCCCCATCTGAAACATTAATGGTATATACGGTATATATACACACTGAAAGATATACATCTTTTGGTATAGATATATACTCAGAGAGATTCATCTGTGTGTGTGTGTGTATAACAAGATATACACCTCTCGGTGTATACACACTGAGTCATATACACATCTTGGTGTATATACCCAAACCCCATCATGCTTTATCCAAGAAAAATACATCTGCCACCCTACACACATATATCTTACACATGTATCCACACCTCTGACACCTTACACATGTATCCACACCTCTGACACCTTACACATGTATCCACACCTCTGACACCTTACACATGTATCCACACCTCTGACACCTTACACATGTATCCACACCTCTGACACCTTACACATGTATCCACACATCTATCTTACATATGTATACACACATCTGGCATCTTACACATATATTAAGGCATATGCCATCTTGCTATCACTTCTGAGAATATTTCTTCACGCAGTTATCAGCTAAGCCACGAATGCCAAATTAATCTGAACATAAATAGCGTAACCTGGGTTCTAGATCACTACGCTCTCCTCTCTTTTATATCCAGTTTTTTTGTTTTTTAAAAAGTATCATGCGTGACCTTTTTTGCACTGTTGTTTATATGAGACAAAATTTTTCGTGTCTTAAAAGGTTTGTCATATGTGGGGGGAGGGGCTGTAGCTGGTGAAAGGGCTCTTGATCCAGGGACTTAGAAATATGTTTTCCTTCCTATGCCTCAGACTTAATAATAATTATATTATAAAAAGTCACAGTGTATATACGCTAAGCGGTCTAGAATAAGTCACAGTGTATATACGCTAAGCGGTCTAGAATAAGTCACAGTGAATATACCTGGAGTTTACCTGGAGAGAGTTCCGGGGGTCAACGCCCCCGCGGCCCGGTCTGTGACCAGGCCTCCTGGTGGATCAGAGCCTGATCAACCAGGCTGTTGCTGCTGGCTGCACGCAAACCAACGTACGAGCCACAGCCCGGCTGGTCAAGAACCGACTTTAGGTGCTTGTCCAGTGCCAGCTTGAAGACTGCCAGGGGTCTGTTGGTAATCCCCCTTATGTATGCTGGGAGGCAGTTGAACAGTCTCGGGCCCCTGACACTTATTGTATGGTCTCTTAACGTGCTAGTGACACCCCTGCTTTTCATTGGGGGGATGTTGCATCGTCTGCCAAGTCTTTTGCTTTCGTAGTGAGTGATTTTCGTGTGCAAGTTCGGTACTAGTCCCTCTAGGATTTTCCAGGTGTATATAATCATGTATCTCTCCCGCCTGCGTTCCAGGGAATACAGTTTTAGGAACCTCAAGCGCTCCCAGTAATTGAGGTGTTTTATCTCCGTTATGCGCGCCGTGAAAGTTCTCTGTACATTTTCTAGGTCAGCAATTTCACCTGCCTTGAAAGGTGCTGTTAGTGTGCAGCAATATTTCAGCCTAGATAGAACAAGTGGACCTGAAAGATGTCATCAGGGGCTTTTGGCCTCCCTATTTTGAAAGGTTCTCATTATCCCCATCCTGTCATTTTTCTAGCAGATGCGATTGATACAATTTATGGTCCTTGAAGGTTAATCCTCCCGACATGATCCACTCCCAGGTCCTTTGACGTTGGTGTTCGCTCTATTTGTGGCCAGAATTTGTTTTGTATACTCTGATGAAAGATTTAATTTCCTCGTGTTTACCATAATCTGAAGTAATTGAAATTTCTCTATCGTAGAACTTCATATGTTTTTCTGGCCCCCACCACCCGCTGAAAGATTCGGTGATGGTCCTCCTGGGAAGCCTTGGCAGTGACTGCAATGGAAGCACTGTCATGCATAATTCGGGTGTCATCCTCTGCAAAGGAAGACACGGTGCGTGGCATGACATCCTTGTCTATTCCATATGAGGGATGAGGAACAAGATGTGCGAGTACAGTGCTTGTGAAACAGAGCTTTCACCGTACTAGCTGCTACTGCCTCGGACTTTTACTTTTGGTTGATGACTACTCTCTGTGTCTGTAGTGAGGAACTTATAGATCCAGCGACCGACTTTTCCTGTTTATTCCTTTAGCACGCATTTGTGCGCTATTTACGCCCATGGTCACACATGACGAGGCTTTTGTCAAAGTCTGTATATATTAACATTTCCTGCATTCTTTTTATCTTCTAGTGCATTTAGGACCTTGTCGTAGTGATCCAATAGTTGAGACAGACAGGAGCGACCTGTTCTAAACCCGTGTTGCCCTGGGTTGTGTAACTGATGGGTTTCTAGATGGGTGGTGATCTTGCTTCTTAGGACCCTTTCAAAGATTTTTATGATATGGGATGTAGTGCTTCGGGGGGATGATCGGTCAGTAGTTCTTGCTGTTGCTTACTATGCCTGCCCCCGCTAAGCGGTCTAGAATAAGTCACAGTGTATATACGCTAAGCGGTCTAGAATAAGTCAGTGTATATACGCTAAGCGGTCTAGAATAAGTCACATATACGCTAAGCGGTCTAGAATAAGTCACAGTGTATATACGCTAAGCGGTCTAGAATAAGTCACAGTAAACACCGTCGCTGGAAAAGTTTACGAATAATAGAGGAAAATTTACTCTACTCATTATATTAGGTATTAAATTATCCCTCAGATGACCAAAAGCTCCAGCTGTGGGTCATCATAATACCCGCGTCAGGTAACACTTGTCCTGTTTCCTGACGAACCTGACTTAACCTAACCTAATATGACCAAGAATCTTAAACGGGTCAATTATATGATTAAGACCAGTGTCAGGAGACACCTGTCCTGTTTCTTGACGAATAAAACAACAGATATCCCCCCCCTCCTCATTTCTGTCATGTTTATTGTTTGAATTATACTTTGTCAACATGTATAACGGAATCGTGTTTAAAATGAGAGGAACTAAAAAAATATCGCCATAAAAAAGGATAAAAACACTCATTTTGAGGTTCTTCTCTTACCAGGTCAAGGTGACGTTTATTTTCTCTCTCTCTCTCTCTCGTCTCTCTCATTCTCTCTCTCTCTCTCCTACATCCGTCTCCTCTCTCTCTCTCTCTCTCTCTCTCATCTCTCTCTTCTCCTCTCTCTTCTCCTCTCTCTCTCCCCTGCTTCCTCCACTCGATCTCTCCTCCCCCCCTCCCCCCCCCCCCCATCGTTTCTCTCCTCTCTCCTCTCCTCTCCTCTCTCTCTCTCCTCTCTCTCCTCATCCCTCTCTCTCTCTCCCCTCTCTCTCCTCTCTCTCTCTCTCTCTCATCTCTCTCTCTCTCCTGTCTCCCTATCTCTCTCTATTTAACCCTAGATAGAATATAAATCATCAATCTGCGTAAACGAACACGAAATAAAAACGTGTCGAAAAATAACTTGGTGTGGGGGGGGGACACACTATTATCACTCATATCAACAATTGTCAGAAGTCTTGATAAAGCAAGGTGGCCATGTTACATACAGTCAGTCAGGTTCTGCCTGCCACTTGCTGCTGTGTGGTCTAGTGCTAGTGCCTCTCCCTCTGAATTTGCTTTAATTTCAAATCAAACTGATTTCTGTACGCCTACCCATCTACTTACGTAAAAAAAAAAAGTTCTTAAAACTAGCCCCTTTTATGTAATGATCAGATATACTCACAGTCGCAAGACTCACTATCCACTGAAAAGATTCACATGTGATGTAGGTTATTAGATGATATTAATGTTGAGTGATGATATGTGAACACTGAGAGGCAGACCTAGCATGGGAAGAGGGTGTCTATTATCTCCCATCGTTTAAATCTTCGCTTCTTGGTAAGTTATTGATTTTTGTACTGTCGTTGTAACAGATACGTTATCGTAGTAGCCTTCTAGATTGTATATAATTTGACACATCTTGTGGCAAGGATTTACGACCAGTGGGACACTTGCAGTCCCTGAGGACCACAGTTGTGGCCCTTGATGACTTGTGTCAGAGAATTATAACCTTGGCTTAAGTACGAACATAAAGATATAAAAGACTGGAAGTCTTCAGTATGTTTTGAACAAGTTCTATATAGACTTCAAGAAAAAAACATGAAGTTATTGCAATTCTTGAGTCAGCCAGTCTCTGGTGAACCACAATGGAAATATATCACTTTGACTTTTTGGGGGGGTTATTCTAGGTAATCTACACATATGCTGTTATGCAATAAGATCACAGTAAAAGGTGATTTCAGAATATGCAAAACAACCACTGTGAAAGAATAGAGAAATTCCAAGCGCTTTCGTGACTACTCACATTATCAAGGAACAATTATTGTTTCTTGATAACGTGAGTAGTCACGAAAGCGCTTGGAATTTCTCTATTCTTTCACAGTGGTTGTTTTGCATATGCTGTTATGTATGATAATTTATGTAACTGTATTTATGTGTACCTGTGCCTGAATAAAAACTTACTTAAAACGTTTTATAAATCAACTTGACGGTACAATGTACTTTTGGTTTAAATGAAACCTGTCTGTTTGATCATTAGAATAATAACACATTTCGCTCAAAGATTATGGAAGGAACTTATTCAATTTTTACAAGATTATCACTAATATTTGCATTAAAAATATTATGGGTTTACATATGCTTATCTGTCTCCACTTACACCTGCTAGCAAGCATTCATCCTCTCAAATCTCAGCAACTCAAAATTTGTAACTGACTTAATCCCTATAGTTTATAATCCACACTGCAACTAACAACTACGAAATTTGATCCCAACCTCAAAGAAAAGGTTAGGTAAGGTTCGTCAGGAAACAGGACAAATATTTCCTGACGCGGGTCTTAGTCAGATGAAGAACCCGCCTTTGGAGCTTTTGTCCATTACACATGGCCTCCGCTGGCTTACCGGTCCACCCCTTTAAAAATTATGGTCATTTATAACCATTGTTGTATTACCTCAAAGAAAATTCTTGCGGAGAAATAATGTGTAAACCACACCGAGAAGTTCCCTGTCAATAGTAAGTACAGTATTTATTCTGCCTGTACAAGCTTGGGTCCGAGGCTAAATGAATTCTATTCAATACTATATATCACATATCAATAAGCGATTAGAATATATGATTTAACTTTCAAAAAGACTGGTATCTGTATCAATGTAGCCTCACTCATGGGTGAATTTTTCCATATTGTCCCAGAAGTCAAACGTCTGCATCACTATCTTAGGCTATACTGTTATATTTCTAAAATTATTAGTTACATTACACGTTTGTAATACATTTCGATATATTACACATTTTTATCAATAACATCCTAACCGATCACAGACACCAGAATAGTTATTGTAAAAAAAAAAAAAAAAAAGGTATATCGAGCTTTCACAACTGCCTTCACTTCTCGGCCATTTTGTAAATCACAAACTACAGACATTGTTCAACAAGCTAGGAAAAATACGATGTCTGGACACGGCTCCCGATGACTATCATAAATATAAAGATAGCTCCAGCATTTCCAGTTCACTGATATTTATTTTTCCCGGATAAAATTAGTTATGTAAAATAATGTTAGCACTTTACTCCACCCAAAATAACAACAACAATCAGTGGATGGCATTATTCTTTGGGATCAAATTTTTGATAAGGGATCAGAAGCACGAACATACAGGAGAGTGCTAGGAATTAACTCTTAGGTGTAGATAAGTACCCAGGTGTTAGTTTCCTTACACCTGCCCTTATTTACCTAGCACTTAATATACTCCCTGAGGGACAGAACCTAAAGTCATTAACGGGAATGAGTCACAATGATTGGCTTTCATTGATGAATTTTCTTCTGCAAGAGGTTGCTTTGGAGTGTTTGTGAGCCGTCATCTTGACTAGCTGGAGGCAGCCTGGAAGACTTGCACACTAGGCGGAGTCCTAGAAAATTTATAGGCTAGGTGGAGGCCTCCCCTGGCAACCCTGTAGTTTATCCGGAGTCCTTTTAGAAACCTTGTAGACCAGCCGGAGTCCTTCTAGAAACCTTGTAGACTTGCTGCAGTCCTTCTAGAAACCTTGTAGACTAGCTGGAGTCCTTCTGTAACCTTGCAAATTAGCTGGAGTCCTTCTAGAAACCTTGTAGACTAGCTGGAGTCCTAGAAACCTTGTAGACTAGCTGGAGTCCTTCTAGAAACCTTGTAGACTAGCTGGAGTCGTCCTAGAAACCTTATAGATTAGCTGGAGTCCTAGAAACCTTGTAGACTAGCTGGAGTCCTTCTAGAAACCTTGTAGACTAGCTGGAGTCTTTCTAGAAATCTTGTAGACTAGCTGGAGTCTTCTAGAAACCTTGTAGACTAGCTGGAGTCCTTCTAGAAACCTTGTAGACTAGCTGGAGTCTTTCTAGAAATCTTGTAGACTAGCTGGAGTCTTCTAGAAACCTTGTAGACTAGCTGGAGTCCTTCTAGAAACCTTGTAGACTAGCCAGAGCCCTCACAGAAACATTGAATACTAGACAGATTACTCCTAGAAAACTTTTAGACTAGCCAGGTTTCTAGTGAACCTTATAGACTAGCCGGAGTACATCTAGAAACTTTGGAGATTAGATTTAGTCTTCCTAGAAACCCTTACAAATTAGCTGCAACCCTCACAGATATCTTGTAGACTAGACACTTGATAAAGACACAGACGCAACATAATGTGATCATTTTTAACAATGTTTCTTTTACGCAGTGGACTTTTTGACGCTCACTGCATGGGTGAAAAGTTGTCAATAAAGAATTGATTTACACAGCATTTGTGTCTTTATCCTATGTGCCGAAATTTTCCACCATTTCTCTCCTAGACACTTGGTACTTGTGGTAGCTTTCAGTGTCCTCCCTCCTACAGGGACCTGGGAGAATAATAGAAATTGGAATCGTTAGGCTGTTCAGAGTACTACAAGGACCCTACAGAAGTAACTATGATTTTTGGGGGACTACTATATATAATTTACACATGTAATCATCCAAAAATTGTGTTAAATTGTACCTAAATAAATTGTTTATCAACAGCATTATATTAGGAAATGGAAGATTTATATGTCCTTTCTTCAGACTTAATGGAGAGAAGTGTGTGCTAAGTGGAGTGATTGTCGATAATGTTGTGACTGGTGCTACAGTAACTACTGGTGCTGCAGTAACTGCTGGTGCTGCAGTAACTGTTAGTGCTGCAGTAACTGCTGGTGCTGCAGTAACTGCTGGTGCTGCAGTAACTGCTGGTGCTGCAGTAACTGCTGGTGCTGCAGTAATTGCTGGTGCTGTAGTAACTCCTGGTGCTGCAGTAACTCTTGGTGCTGCAGTAACTCCTGGTGCTGCAGTAACTGCTGGCGCTGCAATAACTCCTGGTGCTGCAGTAACTATTAGTGCTGCAGTAACTCCTGGTGCTACAGTAACTACTGGTGCTGCAGTAACTGCTAGTGCTGCAGTAACTGCTGGTGCTACAGTAACTACTGGTGCTGCAGTAACTGCTAGTGCTGCAGTAACTCCTGGGTGCTACAGTAACTACTGGTGCCTGCAGTAACTGCTAGTGCTGCAGTAACTGCTGGTGCTACAGTAACTGTTAGTGCTGCAGTAACTGCTGGTGCTGCAGTAACTGTTAGTGCTGCAGTAACTCTTGGTGCTGCAATAACTGCTGGTGCTGCAGTAACTGCTGGTGCTACAGTAACTCCTGGTGCTACAGTAATTGCTGGTACTGTAGTAACTGCTGGCGCTGCAATAACTGCTGGTGCTGCAGTAACTCCTGGTGCTGCATTTAACCCTGATGCTGCAGTAACTACTCCTGGTGCTGCATAACGCTGGTGCTGTAGTAACGCTGGTGCTGGTAGTAACTGCTGGTGCTGTAGTAACTGCTGGTGCTGTAGTAACTGCTGGTGCTGTAGTAACTGCTGGTGCTGCATTAACTCCTGGTGCTGCAGTAACTTCTGGTGCTGCAGTAACTCCTGGTGTTGCAGTAACTCCTGGTGCTGTAGTAACTGCTGGTGCTGTAGTAACTGCTGGTGCTGTAGTAACTGCTGGTGCTGCATTAACTCCTGGTGCTGCAGTAACTTCTGGTGCTGCAGTAACTCCTGGTGCTGTAGTAACTGCTGGTGCTGCAGTAACTCCTGGTGCTGCAGTAACTGCTGGTGCTGTAGTAACTGCTGGTGCTGCAATAACTGTTAGTGCTGCAGTAACTCCTGGTGCTGCAGTAACTGCTGGTGCTGTAGTAACTGCTGGTGCTGCAATAACTGTTAGTGCTGCAGTAACTCCTGGTGCTGTTAGGTAAGACACATATGCAACAGTTAGGTATCTTTATTTTGAAACGTTTCGCCTACACAGTAGGCTTCTTCAGTCGAAAAAACAAAAGTAAAAAATAACAGAAAAGTTGATAGAAGCAGAAGATACTTGAAGACGATGTAATCAGTCCACCTCAAAACTTCAAGGGTGATTGACTGATTACATCGTCTTCAAGTATCTTTTGCTTCTATCAACTTTTCTGTACTCGACTGAAGAAGCCTACTGTGTAGGCGAAACGTTTCGAAATAAAGATACCTAACTGTTGCATATGTGTCTTACCTAACAACCTGTCGGTATTTTATACCAATTTAATGTTCAACTCCTGGTGCTGCAGTAACTCCTGGTGCTGCAGTAACTCCTGGTGCTGCAGTAACTCCTGGTGCTGCAGTAACTCCTGGTGCTGCAGTAACTCCTGGTGCTGCAGTAACTCCTGGTGCTGCAGTAACTCCTGGTGCTGCAGTAACTCCTGGTGCTGCAGTAACTCCTGGAGCTGCAGTAACGTCCTGGGTGCGCAGTAACTCCTGGTGCTGCAGTAACTCCTGGTGCTGTAATAACTGCTGGTGCTGCAATAACTGCTGGTGCTGCAGTAACTGCTGGTGCTGCAGTAACTGCTGGTGCTGCTGATGATGCTGGTGCATTGATGCTGCTGCTGCTGAAGTGATGATGATGCTGACGCTGCTGGTGCTGCTGTTGATGATTCCTCACGTTTCTCACTTGCCTGTATCCCCAGGGGTATGTCTGGCTCTCATCTCTGTTTTCAGTTTAGTTTAATATGTTTATTATGCACCCCATACCCATCCTGTGGGCGGTAGTCAAAAGATTACAGAGGTACATAATTGGTCCAGGGACTGGGCCTCAAAGTTTTGATAGCTGAGCAAGTTACAGAGGTAATGAATTCACAATTTACAAAGGCAATGAACTCACAATTTACAAAGGTAATGAACTCCAGGTAGGTCTAGTCACAATCATGACAAGTTACAAAGGTATTTACAGATTACGGAGGTACACAATGGGTCCAGGGACCGGGGCCCCAAAGTTTTGAGGGCTGAACTGGTACGGGAAATGAACCACAAGTTACAAAGGAAAGAACTCCAAAGTTTTCAAACATCTATAATGCACAAGTAGGAACTACTTCTGGGATCCTCTCGTAGGTATCTGTTGAAGAGGTTCCCAGAAGGAGGTCGAAATTTACAGGTCAGTTAATCTCCTGAGTTTCTGTCTCCATGTGGGTTATTATTGGTCACTGACAAATGTGTGTGTATATATATAAATATATATATATAATATATATATATATATATATATATACAGAAGGGTTGGATTCAAGTGGGACTTGCACATGAGTTAATAGATTTATCAGAGCTTATTGTTAGGGTAGCAATGAAAGTGGGTTGGGCACAGATATTCTGTTAGTGGGTTGGATTTGTGAAGGACCTGCCCAGTATGGGCCAACAGGCTTACTGCAATGTCCCTCCTTTCTTATGTTTTTATGTTGTACAGTGCATAATACAGCACAATAATATTTATGTCACTTGCAGATGAAAGACTGTCGGAATGTCTACCAGAATCAGGACTCCTCAAAAGACAGATGGACCAGTTTAAACCAACATGAGAACATAACAGTGGGTTGTGACCGCCTTAAAGGGAGTCTTCTTCACCAGCCACTGGACAACTTTGCGCAAGAAATCAGTTCGCTCAAAAAATGCAAGGGAAATTTTCGAGTATTGCACAGCATACCTTGTTATATCACAAAGGAAGCAGGAAAGGAAGGCCTGATATTGACGTTAGTTATGCTGCTTCACCAGCAGTGTGTAAAGAGGGAAGAGGATATTGAACATCAAATCCTTGGCTATGTCATGTGTTATTATCCAGAACTGGAGGTCATCACCTTAAATTCTGTGAATAATCCAGAACTGGAGGTCACCACCTTAAATTCTGTGAATAAGAACAATTCAGTTAATAATAGTGAATCAGTAACGCAATCAACAAATTCAGTAAACTGGGGTATTTTTCTTGGAGTCATAAGCTCAATTTTATTTGTATACTTTTTAATTACAATAATATATGTATTAACAAAGATATGCAAAAAGAGAAGAAGGGTCAGGGGCATGTCTACTGACCTTGAAAATTATGAGGCTTTCCTATGAGTAATGTAAACAGAAGCTCATAAATTGATAAACTCAGTAACAGAGAGAAGAAACGTATATTCAGAGGCCAAAGAAACTCCCAGAGCCTGTAATTTATTAAATATAAAATGGTGCTCCTTCTTAAGTGGGTGTGACTTGGACCTGCCTAACATGGGCCAGTAGACCTACTGCAGTGTTTCTTAACTGGGTGTGACTTGGACCTGCCTAACATGGGCCAGTAGACCTACTGCAGTGTTTCTTAAGTGGGTGTGACTTGGACCTGCCTAACATGGGCCAGTAGACCTACTGCAGTGTTTCTTAACTGGGTGTGACTTGGACCTGCCTAGCATGGGCCAGTAGACCTACTGCAGTGTTTCTTCTCTCTTATATACATATAAATCTACAGCAACCAATGACGGCACTCAAACAGTGGTAGCTCACATGAAAATGTAAGATATGAACAATTGATTGTAGGCTAATTGCGTTTAAAGTCTATCGGCTGGCTACATGTGGCCTATTCCATCAGTAGAAAATATTGTAGTTAAATAAGGATCAGATATAAATTTAGTGTATATAAATACACTGAGAAATATAAAACTCTCTGTTGCTTATTTCTCAGTGTACATAATAATAATAAAGGTAAATGGTTATAACTATGACCATAATTGTTAAAGGTATGAACGGGTCAGCCAGCGGAAGGTCTCTGTCAGATGACCAAAAGCTCCAGCTGTGGGTCATCATATAACTAAGACCTGCGTCAGGAAACACTTGTCCTGTTTCCTAACAAACATTACCTAACATAATGTACATAACCTCGCATGCTAGATCAAGTTATGTTGAAAACAGTGAAGAAATATAGAGCAGTGGAAAAATAGAATAGCGTAGCGTCAGGAATAATAGATAACCTGCAAATGAGAATCACATTCATGTATACTTGTGAAAAAAAGTGATAAACCCGTGTGGGTTATATACAGTGCTCGTTTGTGTATAAAATAGCACAAAAAAAATGTTTCTTATATAACGGGTATGTACAATAGATATACAATATAAATAATAGAACTGTAAATTACTGTCGCTTTGAAATTTTAATACACTAGGCTGTTTCTTTTTTGGGTGTAATTAACATTATTATCTGTAACGAAAAGTTGATGTATAGTAGAACCAAAGATGTGCTTTTGTATTACACTATAAAAACCATCGAGTTATTTAATGACTTTAGCACTTTAAATATATTTTTCCACACGGCTTTAATGCTTATTTTGATAATAATAAAATAATATTCATCATTATTATTATTATTATTATTATTATTATTATTATTATTATTATTATTATTATTATTAATATTATTAATTTCCCTAGTTATAGGTAATTTTGGGGGGTCAGCGCCCCCTCGGCCGGGTCCTAGACCAAGTCTTCTGACTGACCATCTCCTTAGTTTGCACTGATTTTTCTTCAATGGGGCAAATATTTCATTTAATAAGGAAGTACTAAACCCATAGGGCAGAGATCATGCAGCGCCCGAGGAATGGAAGGTAATCAAATTTGATCCAAGGAAGGAGAAGATGGCCTCCCACCCTTCCCTTTGAAGAGACTTAGAAACAAAGACAGTGTGACTTCCTTCGTCTATTTAAAATTTTAGAACAAGTACAAAATCCTCCTAGCGTTAGTGAATCAAGAATTTTGTGTAGCTGTAAATATAGGCTGGACGGGTATAGGAATAGGCATGAGTTAAACTAGCCTAGCATGGGCCAATAGGCCTACCACAGTGTTCATTTTCAAATTCTTCAGAATTACCTGATGATAAGACATTAGAGTATAATTTATGTAAATATATGTGTCAGCTTTTACTTCGACATTTTGTCCATATTCCTCCGTCCTTATAATCAAGGACTGACTTACCTAACAATCACTGAGGATAGTTGTCCTTGGCCAGAGGAACAATTATTTCTTCCTGCTCCATTATGTGTTGAAAAAATCATGAATTCACGAACTCATAAATGTTCACTGAATATCAAAATATTTTATCCATAGTGGGACTTTCCCGGTAATTCTGGAAACATATCTTAAGTTTATTGTTATAATAAGGCACTGGACAGGCACCTCAAGTCAGTATCTGATCAACCTGGCTGTGGTTTGTACGTCAGCTTGCCTTCGGCCAGCAGTAACAGCCTGGTTGATTAGACCCTGATCCACCATGAGGCCTGGTCTCAGACCGGGTCAGGGGGCGTTGACCCCCCGAAGTCCTCTCCAGGTAACTGCTTAAACTTGTCTAAATTCAACTACACCATGTTAAAATATTGGGTATTATAAATAAATCATGACCACAAATAAACTAGTATATTTTCTACTGTTAGGTGTTCTAGTGGTACACTCTGTAATTATTATTTTACTACATGTAAACCACACAATAGCCAAATTCATTCGTCTCTCAGCCATTGAGTAGAGAGGACGTGTTCTACACTGCTGCCCTCTATAGCTGTTCGGTGGCAGTTTCATTTTCTCAACATGGCGCAGGCAGCCAGACGCCGCGTCAACACTGTGTGTTTGGAATTAACTCGTGGGGCAGTGCTTGGACCATCAATGGCGATATTATTGCCAGCGATAATCCGAGACACCTATGGTATCGCCAACGAGGATTTGTGCGGTGTAGCGATGAATGGTGTGACAAGAATCTTTGTAAAGTTTAGCTCAGCTCAAGTTTACGAGAATGTTTCGACAAGTATCAAGAGGTCCCAAACTGGTGGTTAACCAGACTGTGTCTGTGAAGCACACGATGTATCCCCCCCATTAATACATGGGTAAAATGAGAAAGTACCCCCTTTAGGGTATCGACTTTTCTGCTGCCCTAGAATTACGGCCCATACACATGGGACAGCAGGAGGGGCCTGATGGGCCCTAAAAATTTTATTTTAAATAAAAAAATTTTTTTTCCTTTAAATTTAAGGAATAAACTTTGAATTTAAATTTGAATTTGAACATAAGTCGTTGTTACTAATGATTGATTCATTTACATCATCTCAGGATCTCCCAGGTTCATTACTACTGTAATCTGTTATCAGACATATTGGGGTCTAGTTCCTGGGCCCATTAGGGGCCTCTGTAATATTTTAACTACTGTCCACACCATGGGTATGGTGTGTACAATAAAGTTAATAAAATACCATACTTTACCACAAGATTATTTTCCTGCCATAGATCACACTAGACGGTTGACTTCTTTATGTAATGAAATCTATCAGTCTAACCTATGATACCTCTACAGGATGATGATAATACCTTTATTATTATTATTATTGGGAAGCTATAAATCCGTAGGGGGTCATACAGCTCCTAAGGAATGGGACGCAATTACGTTTCTTGTATTATTATTATTATAATCAAGGGGAAGCGCTAAACCCGGAGGATTATACAGCGCCTGGGAGGGATGTGGAAGGCATTCAGGCTTAATTCGGGGAACTGGAGCACAGATCCAGTTCCCTAAATCAAGAGCCCCTCACCAACATCAAGGAACCTTCCTTGAGGGGTACGTTTCTTGTAGAGATTTGAACTTCAGCTTCTTGGAAGAAGAGCACTTCATTAGCATCAACAGGACCACTCCCACGAGCCCTCCTGGGGCGAGAAAGGTGCCAGAGCTAGAGCTTGCTACTACCTGCACCTCACAAGACTTCCACTCCCCAGGAGCCTCCCTGGGGTGGGGAAGATGGCAGACCAGAGGTCTAACGAGCCTCGTGAGGGCCGGGAATGGAGCTAGGCCTGGGGACAGTTGGTTCCATTATTATTATTATTATAATCAAGGGGGAAGCGCTAAACCCGGAGGATTATACAGCACAGTTGGTCCCAGAAGATGAGGAGGTACTTGTACCTCCTCCCATGGCAGACATAGGTCTGAGACACTCCCAAGACAGGATGCCAAGGCCGGGTCACCATCTGGAAAAGACCCGGACCGGGAGAGTACCGGTGAATCAAGAACCAGCAAGACACCTTGCAGTGGGGATGGTGTTACAAGGTTAGTTTTAGTTTAATATGTTTATTATGCACCCCATACCCATCCTGTGGGTGGTAGTTACAAGGTTTATGTTCTGTATCTTCCGTTCGGAATTCCTCTAAGGGATTAGGGTCGAGTGACCCCTAATTAAGTAAGTTTATTCAGGTATACACAAATACAGTTACACATATTACCATACATAGCAGCATACGTGTACAGAACCAAGGATAATCCACCAAAAAGTCAGACAGAATGACAGAAAAATTAACATTTGGTGATTTCCCAGATTCTTTCCTGTATCTTATATTTCATTGTAACACTGACATTATTAGTTACCCTCATGTCCCAGAGGATCTTATTATCACATCCTAATTATAAACGAGATAGATACCTGTGGTATGAACTTTCTTTTTATATTTCAATATGTCATTTTTGCTCCTTGAACAGCTTGTTGAATGAGCGAAGTATATCAGTTAATAGTTGTTTGCAAATTTGTAAACTGAATTAATTTTATACAATTTCCGGTCTGAATGCAAAAAGTAAATGCTAAGATCCTTATTCTTTATATATAATGGGTTTAAAATGATCAAAACGTCTTAGCTTTGAAATTAAAAGGAGTTCTAGGTATGACCTTCCTTCTGCAGGAGGTAATACTCCTGAAGGCTACCTGTACTGTACACACCCAGGACGAGCCAGTGTAACCTGAGATGTGGTAGTGACCTGAACCTGTAGTTAACGTCATGTGCATGGTAAGAACTGATATTATTATAATCATAACTAAGGGTCGTACACCGTTATGGAGACTTATTCTTTGCACCTGTGGATATTCTAGTGATCTTCAGGTTACATATAAATTATTTTAGCCATTACATGTGCAGATAGGAATATTTAGTAAATGTTAGTTTTTGCTAGTAACTGAGAGTATTAACTGTGTATTTGTTGCATTATGTAAACTTGTAATTAAAACTTTTTTTTTATGAAGTATGTTTTTTCTTTAAATTCATTAATTTTATTTATGAGAATTTTGTGGCCTGTTATCTTATAGGTCTCTTAACTGCATATAGTGTAAGTTTATTCAGGTATACACAAATACAGTTACATAGATTATCATACATAGCAGCATATGTGTGTAGAGGACCCCAATTGAAATAAAAAGGACCCCAGTGGAAATAAAAAGGACCCCCAGTGGAAATAAAAAGGACCCCAGTGGAAATAAAAAGGACCCCAGTGGAAATAAAAAGGACCCCCAGTGGAAATAAAAAGGACCCCAGTGGAAATAAGTCACTTTGACTTTTTTTTGGGTTATCTTAGGCTCTCTACACATATGCTGATATGTATGATAATCTATGTAACTGTATTTGTGTATACCTGAATAAACTTACTAGAACCTAGGATAACACAAAAGTCAGTAACTTATTTCCATTTTGATCCTTGTGATGTGGATTATATATTTAAAAGTTAAAAACAGGTACATATCTTAACTATGTAAAAGCAGTTATGTTAAAAGAAGATATACTAAGGGAGAGGTAAAATTAACATTAAAGATAAGATCAGATTATAAAATTTCTCTTCCCTTTCTGTAGCCTTATTCATAAGGTTCATTTTCTCTCTTGAACTGGCTCATGCTATGACAGGCTTTGATTATTATTATTATTATTATTATTATTATTATTATTATTATTATCAAAGCTAAGCGCTAAACCCACTAGGGTCATACAGCACTGATATGAGTGATGAGAATATTGAGCACTGTGCTGGAGGTCAGTGGTGGGGATAAGAGATAAGATTTTTAGATTTTTAACCCAGAGGGTTACCTACCCAGGATAACCAAGGAAGGTCATTGCATCATCAAAGACTGCCTTATTTTTGTTGGGGTCCTTCAATCATGTCCCCAGGAAGCAACCTACACCAGTCGACTAACACCCAGGTACTTTCTTGCTAGGTGAACAAGGACAACAGATGTAAGGAAACACACCCAATGTTTCCACTTGCCAGAGGTCGAACCACAGACACTCTGCTCAGCATATGAGGTGTGTTGTCTACCAGGCAGTGGGGAGTCTACCTGGAGGGCATTCCGTGGATCAACGCCCCCGCGGCCCGGTCCACAACCAGGCCTCCTGGTGGATCAGGGCCTGATCGACGAGCCTGTTACTGCTGGCCGCACGTAGTCCAACGTACGAACCACAGCCTGGCTGATCCGGGACCGACTTGAGGTATCTGTCTGGTAGGAGCAATGTGGTTTTTCTGCTGTTGGCATAGATTGCTCACGGCGCATTGTCCTCTTCGCTTTCGGGCTGAGTGGACGCACTGCGCAAACAGCTCTTGCTTTCTCTGGTGCGCAACTTCCTGTTTTCACCAAGATGGCTGCCAGCTACCGCAGGAGGAGCAACACCGTGTGTGTTGACCTTGTTAAAGGGGCAATATACCCCACGAATGCCCCTGTATTATTACCAACGATTATACGGGACACGTTTGGCATTGATGTTGAAGACTTACACGGAATAGCACTGAATGGATCATCACGAATCTTCATAAAGTTCTGCACAGTGGAGGCATATGAAAGGACGGTGACTCAGTACCAGGAGAAGAACATCATCGTATCATCTGGTCTGGAGGTACGCCTGCGGGATGCCTCAAATTTACTACACCTGGGTGAGGATCCGCAACGTTCCTTTGGGAGGCAGACGATGTAGATATCAGAGAGACATTTCAAAGATATGGTGAGGTGCATGACATTACTTTAGTTCGATGGACGGAGGGGATCTATGAAGGGTTGCCGGCTGGATCTTAAAACCGTCAAGATGTCTTAAAAAGACCTATTCCATCGTATGTTGTCCTGGAGGATTTTAGGACACAGCTGTACGTGACCTACGGGGGACAACGAAAGACGTGTCGCCTGTGCGGCGCTTTTGACCACATGGGGGCCCGGATGTGGTAGAGCAGCAGCGCCGCGGCTTGGGAGCGGCAAGTAGCCACGGAGTCTCAGGCGGGAACCTTTACCGAAGAATTTGAGTGTGGCAGGCAAAGGTAATTGGGCGGACGAAGTGGAGGGCGTGTTGGAGATTGTGTGACACTACCAGTGGCTTCGGATATTCCCCCGCAGGCGGGCCCGGGAGTTGAGCAGCAGCCTGTGGGGTGGAGAGACCGGTGCTCCACAGGAGTTATCTACGCCCCTACAGGAGATGATTAAGTCTTTCCTGGACGTGCCTGGGGAGGAGAACCCAGCTACAGACAGGAGCATTCTGACGGTTGAGAAGGACTTGATTGAGCAGATTCCAGAGCCTCTGGGGTCAGAGCCGGCATGTTGCAGTTGATACAGGTGGAAGCTGAGGTGCACAAGGGCAATGGAAATACTGATATGGAAATTGGAGGGCACATCTAGAAAGAGGGCTGGAGGCTCGTCGGATGAGGGGGGTTATAACACAGCTAAAGGTACAGGACGAAGCCCGTGGGCAGGAGTGATTAAGAAAGGGCGGAGTGTGTACAGGGGGGGGAGGGGGTACAGGCGGGAAAGAGTGTACGAGAAAGACAAAAAGCAGCAAAAAGTGGAAACAGACGACAGAACATAGAGGAAAGCCACCCTTCTGAATCTTTAAGTGTCTAACAAAAAACGTGAATGGCCTTAGAGCGGGAGGGGTAAACGAGTATGGTTGGAGGATGTTTTGCGGCGTTTTAATATTGATGTGTGTTTTATTCAAGAACACAATTTCAA